AGCTGATGAATGGAAAAGAAGCCTGGGTCTCGAGCGCGACACATTGAAAAAGCTGCGAGGCGCAATGGTCAAAGAATTCCATCTAGCGTAATCTATATTTACATAGAAAAGCTATTAAAAAAGCAGCAGAGCTTTGTAAACAGCTCAGAGTAATCACATCATCTCCATAAGAACGATATGATTGCCAGAACAAATTTTATATTAAAATTAAATGGATTTAATCGTTGAATCACATGAAACCTCACCAGGCCGTTGGCGCCCTCTGCAGGTATTTGTTATAAATATAGGCATATTACATTATGTATTTAACAGTGTTGTTCAATAAAACCATGTACTTGGTTTAGATACTTTATTTTAGGCCAATTCGTATTGCCATTTCGAAATACAATTGCATTGTTTTACTTTTTGTGATTAAAAGACAAATATTTTGTCATTTGAAAATTTCTTAAAGTATTAAAACATTGTCTCGTTCTAGTGAACCAAGTATCTGCATTTTGTCTCACCTTGTGAGCTAAGTGTATTGTCACACCCCTAGTGTCTATGAGCGTGATAAAGTGTCTAATTTTCCAAGTGTATGATATAGCTTTCATTCTTCAGGTCAATCATATATTCATGAAAAAATCAGTTTGAATGAGGAAAGCGATAACTTTGCCATAGTATCCTTTCAAATGTTAAAGTTGCCACAGTCATTGCATTGTTTGCATGTGCTGCACTTTATTTGTACCATTTTGTTTTATTACTTTATTTATTAGCATTTGAAAGATAATAACAACATTGATTGATAAGTGAGATCTGATTTTAGTCCTTGAAAACCAAAACAGTAGTGCAAGTCCTTGAAAGTCCTGGAATTTTATTTTGCAGTATCTGTACGAACCCTGTTTAAGTTACCAGTTCTTGGACCATTTTAATGTTTTAGTTGTTGTTAATTGAACTGAACCATGGTTTTCTGTAGTAAACTGTCTTTGTATATTTCCTATTTTATATTAATTTCCTAGTATTTAATTTATTATTATTTATTTTGAACAAAACAATTTCAGAAATTTCATGTTTTAGATTGTAGGTCGCTAATGGCAAGGGCAGATACGTTACTAGTTAGTTTCAAGAAAAATCATTTTCTTTTTTTGTTTGCCAAATAACCCTGTGTATGTGTCCGCCCCCACAACCCCCAACCCCCGGAAAAAAGTTCAGGCTCAGGATTTTTTTTTTGCTTTAACCCGAGTGCTGACAAAGTCTTCTACAGAACAAATTTCTGTGCGAATTTTTCGCAAAACCTTTTCTTATGTAAATTGCTACATTATGCAGCGCAAACATATTTGTTTTCATTCCATGAATAAGAAGGTTCTACAGCAGAATCATATTTATTCAGTGTGTTCTTGACTCCACTGTGCTGGGTTTAGTGTTATCTGAGGACATGTTTTGAAATATACTTAGACACTTCACTTAACAGTGACGTCTATTTAAAAGTGGCAGTGAGTAGCTAATTTCCACATCATAGACAAGATTGTGCTTGTTATTCAGCTTTTCCTGACCTCAAAAGCCAGGTTGAGGCAAGGACAGGGCGTACCGCAAATATTCCTCCCAAAAGACAGATTTTCTCAGGATGAGAGGAGGAGGATGGAGCTTTAAAGAGACTTAGATCTTGTCCACCGCAGCTGTTTTCTTCAGGGGCACAAACGCACATGCAGGTATTACTGCGGGTGCCATGTTGAGCTTATTTGTTGCGGAAAATGGTCTATACTGCGGAAAAATTTCTTACACTTCACTAGAACGTACTGGGAATCACCACATAAGACATCAGAACTGTATTAAGAAAAGGTTCAGTTGTTGTAATACATTTTTTTACAGTATAAATTGAGTGTCAGTCTCAAGTCTTATTACTGGATCGCGCTATTCAAATATATGTCACATCCAGCCATATGTTGACAGATCCATATCCAGTAGCTGACATTTCCCAACAATTTTCTTTTATGTGAGTAAAGTTCACCTTACAAAGGACAGCTGAAAAATTGTATGCATACGGTGACCTTTACAGAACTATGGCTAAACTACGAAGAAGCCCTCATCCAAACCATCAAAGATAAAGAGCTTTGGGCAAAATGTTCTAGAAATCATATGTACGAATGAACAGGAGCGTTGTTTTGATGTGAACGCTCTGAATTTGTGTTTTCAATATAACAGTCACCTGGCAGATACAATGAGGTTAGTTTTGTAAGAAAATAAATAAATACATGTAGTGCAGTAATATGATTTGACATGCTATTGTTTAAATAATTACGAATATTGATTTATAAATCTGAAT